CGCCCCCCCGCCGCGGTAGGGTGGGGTAGGAAGCCTGAGCGTCCGCCCACACCACCATGTAAGGTCCGCCACGTTTGAAAAAACCTGCTCTAGAGCCATGGTAAAAGGATCACAGCTCAGAGGCAAGAGGAAAGCAGACTGTTGGGTGGGTGTGGAAGAGCCCAGTATATTAAAGACGAGTTTGCACACATAGGTGAAAGGACTCAGAGAAGAATCATGAAAGCAAACATTGGACTTGTGTGCCACAGACAACACATCAATCAGATACACTTGACCAATTTTTTGAGAAAGCTTGCAGGAAACAAAAATTCTTTCCCTTTCTTTTTAATTGTTAAAACCTTGTTAATGTTGGGGAGTTTAACCTAAATGTTTAGGTTAATGGAATGTGCTTTTCTCTAGCTTGTCGGTTGCCTCTTCTCCTTCCCTTAGAAAAATTTTTTTCCCCTATTTTCCAATCTTCTGAACAATTGATTGTCTCTGAACGAAACAGCATAATCTTTCTTAAAGAATTATTTATTTTATTTTATTCAGTTTGTGAGCCACCTGACTCCAGACTGACTCTGGGCAGCTCACAACATAATAAGCAATGAAAATACAATACAGAACAAAACATGGTGGGATCTGACCACTTCATACAAAAACATCAACAAAAACATATCCAACAAGGGACTCCACCCACCTTAACCCAAAGCCTGGGAGAACCTTCAGGGCTTCAAAGCCTTATGGAACAGCCACACAGATTTCGGGGGGCGGGCAGGTCTGTGACAGAGAAGGCATACTTCCTGGGTCCCTAGAGATAGCACTGTTTGATCAAAGGGACCCAAAGTGTGCCAACTCTGCCAGCATGTACCAGCCAGGCAGAAACCATGGGAGATAGTCCTTCAAATAATCTGGCGGTATGCTATGTAGAGCTTTACAGGGGATGCACCTGGAAGCAAACTAGAAGCCAGTGCAGCTTATGAAGCAGAGATGTCACCTGGACATGCTCACGCCACTGAATTATCCTCTTAAAGAACACTGTACTAAAATGATTATCTTTAAATGCTTTTTCTTTATAGTGGAGCCATGTAACATTCTACATTAGAAACTCTCATCACTCACCCTCACTTTGTCTATGCCAGCCTGCAGACCTTTAGAACGCTCAAAATTCCCAGTCAATCGCAAGTATTGGTAGCTGAAAAGAAGTTAGAGAGAATGGAGTTACAGTCGTGAGTGAATGGGTTATGGAAGTTCTTGAATCCTTCCCCAGTTCTGTTATAAATCACTGTCTGTTTTAAAACAATTTATCTCTCAACTTCAGTCTTCCATCCATAAGACAGAAACCTGAAAGCAGGGTTATGACTTGTCATTCCTGCAAGCAAGAAGATGCAATACTGGTAGAGGTAAATTTGCTGCACCTGTCTGTGGGCAAATACAGCAAGTGAATGGAGTCAATTATAAGTAGAATTAACCAGATGGCTCAGATGGAGCTTTTAGGACAAAGATTAGCCATTTTTTCAAACACCAACAATTTAAAACATGGCTAAAATCCTACTAGATATGGTAAGATTTCAGTGAACATCTTTCTGACTTTGTAAAAACTCATGTGAAAATAAACACGTTTCAAGATTTGGCATGCTCATGAAATATTTGAATATTTTTAAAGATGACTGTAGATGCTAAGGTAATCATGCATAAACCTATTACCCCCTGCCTTGTGTTGAGAAGTTGTATCTTGAATTCAACAAGAAATTCCAAACCGGTTAGTTCTTGCAGTGATTTAACCTAGCACTCCAGAATGAAAATGGGTGATAAGAGAAATTCACATCCTTAAAAGCCACTAGTAATTCTTTAACTAATAAGAAATTTCATTACTGCATCAAATCATTATAGACTTAGTATACAGTGACTTCTGCCTCTGTTTGAAAATATGCTTCCTGATGGAAATAGATCCTTACCTACGCAAGGTGGACCGTTTCAGAGCTTTTTCTACATCCATGTCGTCACTGCTATAGTCTACGATGATGACATTGAAATAGGGGTCCTTAGTACTCCTAAAAAGCTCTTCCATGTCAAAAATGAACTGCTGCACCCAGCGGGCCTGGTTTTTCACTGATTGATAGAAGAAGGAAAGGAACAGAATCAAAGCACAACCAGTTTTAAGAGTGGACCAATGTGTCCCCTGGATAAGGCATTTATTCAGGCTAGGGACAAAGCTTTGTGGCAAATTAGACATCTGATACGTATAAGATGGAAGGCTAAATCAGCAGGTGGGGGCCATGGCCAGGTGGGCCTTTGCCGAGCACCAGCTAGCGTGCCAGTTGCGGCCTTGCTTGGGACATAAAGACCTGGTTGCACGGTCTCATGCTCTCACCATCGCCAGATTAGGCTATTGCATCACACCCTACATGGGATGCTTTAAAGGCCACCTGGAAGTTTTGGTTGATACAAAATGCAGTGGCCTGGAAGTGTTGCTTTTCCATGAGGAGGTCAGACTCTGGAGGTTCGTTTCTCCCTGACGTTGTTTTCTGGAAAAAGCCTGAAAATAAAAGTTTTCAAAGTTCTTTTGGGGTGTGATGCTAAGTATTCTTTATTAGGTTTTAAATGGGTTTTCTGCATATTTTTGGTATGATTGATAAATCAATATCCAAATACCAAGTATCCAAATACTAGGATGGTTCAGTACTAATATTTAAATTTTAATATTTGCCCTGTATTATTGGGTACATGTGACAGAGAATGCCTAGTATCACAAGATGTGTGATTCTTGGAAGAACAGGCAAGAGACAGTGGCATTTATCAGACCCTGAGCGTTAGCACAAGAATAACTAGAGTTGCCCAATGTAAATCTAATATATATTATGATACCTTAAATCTGGGAATAAATTGTGGCAGAAGCCTTCCATTCTCTTCTTTTGAACAGCTGATTAAATATAATTACTCTTGAGCAAGAGGGAGGGCACCCCAGTCTATCATTCTCCCAACTGTTATTTTGACCATATGTATAATGTTGTGTTCATCTTAAAGCTATCAATTCTCCCCCATTACCAGGCACTATAAAGTGGACAACCGCACGATGATTCCATAGGAAGCTTGATGGCCAGCAAAGGACGGGCTCATCCACGCTGCTCATCAGGTGACGCCGGTGACCCCACACCAGATCTTTCATATTGGCTTCCTCCTCTCCGCTGCTGCCACCGTGCCAGCCGCGTGCATAAACATATTCTGAGAAACGGACTAGTCGCTTTCCCTGCTCCAACAGTTCCAGCTCCAGAAAGTAGCGGCTGCCCCGTAGGTGGTCCTGACGCTTCTCCACATTCACAATGCGCTGTAACTGGAACCGCCTGGAAACAGTAGCACTGTAGTTACATTCTGGGATTAAGGCTGGGGCTGACCAAGCATAACTCCACTGCTCTGATGCACAGCAACTTGGCAAGACCTCCCCTGTATTTTCTGCCTGATTTATTTCAGTTTGGAGTGCTAAAAACCCATCAGACATTCCTAAAACCTCCATTATATTATCCTTCCTAAAATATCTGTTTTTTCTACCCATTTTGTGGAATATCATCATGCTAGAGGTAAAAGCATGCACCAGCTTCGTTAAAATTTAGGCACATGTTAACAACATTTTATTCACCTTGGCATTCAGCATCTCATGATTCCACTACTTGCGGCCATTTGCTTATATGGCTTATATAAGAAGCAGGATAGGAACAGTATTGACACTTTTGAACTCTGGTGTTGGAGAAGATTCCTGAGAATCTCATAGACAGCCAAGAAACCAAACCAATGGATCATTGAACAAATCAACCCAGAGTTCTCGCTCAAGGCATAAATGACCAGGCTCAAATGATCCTACTTTGGAAACATTATGTAAAGACCCAGCTGTCTGGAAAAGGCTATAATGCTGGGAAAGGTGGAAGGAAAGAGAAGAAGAGGACACCCAGCAGCAAGGTGGATGGACTCAGTTACAGTGGCAACGGGTGCACCTTTGGAAGACCTGAAGGACCAGGTTAGGGAGAGATCATCTTGGAGAAAATCTATCTATGTGGTCACTAGGAGTCGAAAATGACTTCATGGCACATAATCAATCAATATTTAACTCTACACCAAATTTATCTATTTATCTAGAGAGAGGCACAAGGACCTTCTCCGTTGCAGCCCCTATACTTTGGAATGCCTTACTCTAGAGATTTGAGCAGCCTCTTCCTGTTTGATATTTCATAAAACTGTTAAAGCACCACTTAAAGTATGGTAGAATACTTTTGACCAAGATTGAATGTGACCATCTGGGAGATTTCTGTTAACTGCATGGCTTTCTCTTTATTTTTATTCTATATTTTTATCTGGTTGTACACAGAGTCCACAAATTGGGGGGGGGGGTTTACAAA